GGGGGGGGAAAAGGGGCTTCGCTAATCCAATGATGTCATTAGGTATTGTCCCCAAAATACCTTGTCAACGCATTATCCTGCTATCTGATCCAGGTGTGCCAAGGACTTTTGTCGTGGATTGTACATACATGTATAAGCCCTCGAACGTCGTTTTCGGGATAATACTTGCATTTTAAAATTCACAATTTCGACTGAAAACTATTTGGTCATAGGCCCTCGACAAAACACTATATTGTTGGCTGATAGGTATCATTGCGAGAAATTCATGTTCTTTAAATTACGATATTACTAATCTAATATTGGTTTAGGAATTAAAATGGACGATGTTAAAAGTCCCTATGGTAAATAACCTACTTTAAGTATCTTTAAGGCTTACTTATTATCGAAGTTGGGTTCGATAACTGTTTTGATGAGGTTTGGTAATACTAAGACAAATTGATACAAGTTCTTACTTGCACTGAGACTGAAGGCAACACTCCATAATCCTGCGTCGTAATCAGCTATGCAAAATAAATAATGATAAAAACAATAAACATTTTGTGCTGTGTTTGAATTCGAATCTTAATCGAGGGTGTGGAGGAGCCCTCTCCCACGGGGACCGCGCATGTCGACGGATTGCGGGAAATTAGCACAAGGTAGACACGAAATTGTTGTAACGCAAACTCAAGTAAATAAACAGTAATCTCAGTAGAAAGTGCTGACATGAAAACAAGACTCGTTCGCTACTCGTGTTCCGTGATCACGTGACATTATTTCCCATGATTCCACTACACGCAGAGGGAGGGGCTGGAGGGGACTTTAGCCCCCCCNTTTTAAAGAATTTTTATGTTTTATATGGGGGGTGGGTCATGTAATTTTCAACCTTCATTTAGGGGTGGGTCAATTAGTTTTGTGCCAAAAGGAAGGGGTGGGCCATGTGTTTTATATCCACCACATTTCCAAATGCTCTGGCCCCCCCCCCCCCCCCCCCCCCACTTTTTTGCAAAAATAAAAATAAATTAAACAAGAAATAATTTAACAAAAATACTGGAGCCAAAAATAGCAAAAAATCGTTAATTCCAAAGTGACCAGAGTTACTGGCAAAGACAAACGCGCAGATAAATAGACAGAATTAAGTATTAGTCGTTACAATTATGAAATATTTTTTCGCTTCTAACCTTGTGCTAGCAGGGGTAAACTTCTTTTAAATGGCTTCTTTTTCATGCGGACCTCTCAGGAAAACGCGTAGTTTCGTAATTGATCAATTTCGATCCAAACTAATAACTGGGTTTAGTTTACTAGGCGATTCTCAAACAAATTGTTAATTAGTTTCACCTTGATCTTTGGAAGATCATGAAGCTATTGTTTCCCTGTTATTGTGCGTCCTGATTTTATCTCAATCAGCGCGAAGTCCGTCTTTTGATATCACGTTTCACGGCTCGTCGAGCGTTCCAATTACAAGTTTTGTTGAACGTCTCTTTATAAAAACATTTTGTCATGGTAAGTACTTAAACCGCAGAATTGTGTATAGCTCAGGTCATCATGGAACAGTCAATCCGGTGGTTATTACGAGCAAAGAAGTGTACATGGTACACGGCAACATAAATAAGGACGACGAGGCTTCACATACCACTAGTAATGCAAAGAAGAGATCTCTTAAAATTTCTGATTACTTTTCCAAAAGAAGTGGAAAACCTTCTTTATTTGGTTGGTAAACTCCGCATAATTACTGCAATTTTTTTCTGAATCTGTTCTAATTGAATTATTTATAAAATTTATGAATTTCAGTCACTTTTTCATGTGACATAGTTTTTAAAATATTGATCTAATAATGTCTCATTTACATTCTTTAAAAGAGCCTCCACCCAAAAAAATGTGCGAAACAATTAACTCCACCAGTGCAGTAGATAGCAACATCACTGAAGATGTGGAGAAAAATTAATAGCTTTATCGTTATAAGAGCATTCTCCGTCACTTTAGAGAAATTAAATAAAGATTCCCAAGCATGCCACCCCCCCCCCCCGCCAAATTTCGTCCACGCGTTCTTCTTTAGCGCCCCCACTTCTCAAAAACTTGCTGCCGCGCGGTCCCTTTCCCACCTAACCCACACAAACATTTTCTCCTAAAGAAAAAAAATCTCAAGTATTTGGTATGAAGTAAATAGCCCTGAGATGACATTTTCTACCACCTTCCAGCTTAAGATAAAAGAAACTATTCATATTCAATGGGAAAAACCTATAGTAAATCATCAACTTTACCATGTTAATTTAAATTTTTCTTGCAATATTTTACATTGTCATGTTTCCTTTTGTGCTTATAGTCAATTAGCATTTTGCGCACACCATATATTCAACTCTGTACTTTGTAATTTAAACTGAAGATGACAGAAGATTCTGTTGAAACATGTTTTTAAATGATGTTCGATCACAACTCCAAACTTGCGTGCCATGTTCACGAATGTCATCATCACATGGATTTTGAAAACGTTGAAGTCGTCGGACATGAGGCACATTACAATCAACGGCTTTTCCTAGAAGTTTGGATGTCTGTGAAAGACAAGAACGCTGGGAATGACCATGCACAAGGTCATCTCAGAAGTCTACAAGTCAGTGACAGAAAACGGTACTTTTATCAACCATGTCATCTCCTGACTACATTTACTCAATTTTTAAATGTTCTTAAAAAACGTTGTGTTGTTTCTAAAAATAGCAACATGTCTGCTACTATCCAGACCTTTGGGCAATTGACGAAAAATATAATCAAATGATAATGGATCATAAAAAGCCAGCCATTCTGAACCTTTGCGCGTGCGAAGTTAAAAAAATTGAAATCAAACAGAGAATTATGTCAAAAAAACTATTTTTGACTAAAACTGTATGTCACAATGCATTTGCTATAAAAAGATATAAAATCATGGATATACAACTGGCACATCAGAATTTCAGCAGTCTATTAATGAAAAGCTCATGTAATCCTTAGCTTCACAAAACTGAAAATATCGGAGAGGTTTGAATCCACCACGCCCTCTCCTCTGTCCTATCTAAGCCGTTTTAAAACATTAACATTTAGTCTACACATGACGAAAAATTCTGTTTACTATTTTCAAAGATGTCTTTTTGTTGTGTTGTGTTCCACAATTTGAGGTTGACAATTTTATTACCATGGCAACATACTAGGTTGCAGACCTCCCCGATGTTCAAGGCTTTCTGGTCATCTTTGGCGTTCCATTTTAATATTTGCCGCTGCTGCCTCATCTGTGCAATCCAGCAAGCCTATAAATATGTTAGGCCAAGCTTTTGGCCTGGTTCAATTTCCCCGAGCTGAAAATCACTAAAATACTGAAAACAGGCTGTTTGGGACTGGAAAAGAGTGAGTTGTCATGGGAACGGAATTTATAACAGGATTTAGTGTGTTGCTTGTAGAACTATTGGTTTTCCAAATTTCAATGGTCTCTGCATCAACTCTGTTTGTATATTTGATATGCAATCGATTTAAATCATAAAACGTCTTAGCTCACCGCTGGCTTCCACATCAACCTTAAGTTTATCTTGATAAGACTTGGTCCCGGAAAATACTTCGTTTGTGGTAGTTTCGACGCAGGATGAGCGATGAACAAAGATGACCTGGTCTGGTACTCGGTACAGTCCATCAACAGAAGTTTTATTTCTATCCCATGTCAGTTTGAATATTTTTCTATCGGCGAGCAGTCCTGGGTCGACACCACCGTGTGCCAATTCGCCGGCGTCAGGATTTCCTTTCAGAATATTATAGCCGACACCTACAAATCTAAGACCTTTGGCCGTGGCCACATCCTCAGTAGCATGGGTGACAACGGCGACACCAAGAGCGATGAGAAAAGCAGTGAGACACATGGCTTCCCTGTGAAGAGAAAAACAGGTACCCCAAGAGTACACAAGGCTACTGCTCAGTGCAGTTACCAGCCTACGAAAGGATTATAATGCACCCCGTTTAAGGTGAAGGTTCTGATGGCTTTAAACACTAAGCAGGTAATGGATGAGTGCTCCAAAATTTGTTTGACAGTTTTCCCGTGTGACTGGCATGTAATTACTGTGGAAGCTCACCTTACGGTAACCTGCGATCATACCCTCTCTCCCTACCTCTCCTTTCCTTCTCCCTTTTCAAAAAAAAAAACAACAACAAGAAAAAGAAAAAGCCTGATCGCAGGTTAGCCTTACGGTTACCTCCTTATTACGGCCAATATTAGATTTTGTTATTCTGGCGAAAACGCCCGTGCGTTAGTTTTCTTTTACTCAAACTCAATTGATATACGGCCAATGGCCACGTTCTGAAATCCCAACCTGTATAATCCATTATAATTTTCCCCCATTAATTCGGATAATCTAACCAGATAAGCATTCGTTGCTGACCAAAAAAACAAATATGGAGAAACAATGTTGAAATATACTCTTGCTTTACTCACAGCGCCTGTAATATGTCATGTCGTTGACATCTTTCCATGGATAGAAATGCAATAGAGCTTTCCCGAATTCCAATAAACTATGGCGCCGAGGTCGAGGTCAGGGTGGACAAAAAATACAGCAAATGTATGAAGATGTTCACCCCAACCTCGCTCTGGTGTTATTGTTCGAACACACTGAAGTGGAATGCGGGAAAGGTCTATTGTGATATATTTGTCAAAACGTCACTTAAAACAGACTAGTCATAAAATCTGAGCCCATCACGTCTGTCTCGCAAATTTAATGGCCAGTTGGGAAACGTCTCACTTTTAACGGAGAAAGTAGAAAATCAGAAGAGCAGTCCGATTACACGGTACAAGCTCGCTTACGACTGCAAATTGGCGTTGGTATTCTTACATTTCAGGCACCTGACTGGAGGCGAAGAAAAATCCATCGCAGAAGGGTTGGGATGTTCTACTCAGTGACATTTCGAATGTGAATATATATCCTTTTATACTTATGAGAATTTACGACTTATACGACTTATACGACATTATTATTTTACAGGCCGTTAATGTTTCAGCCGAAATTATCGGCCAGTTGCGTGTGAAAATTAACAAGAATTGGTAATCAACAAGGAAGCTACTTGTAGATTCAAAGCGACAAGTTCAGCTGTCTTGCTGCTTTCGTATAATACTTATCATAAAGAGCATTAAAGGTTAAAATGAACGATTTCGAAAATTAAAGAGACTTTTTTTATTGATAAAACACCATTCTTAATCGATTTTTTGCGATAGGCCACCGTCAATACGAGCTGTGACCTTTGTACTTTTGTTGCAAACATTGTCGTATATAAGATCTAAAAAAACTTCTCCCTTCTCTGCGTCCAACGCAGAATGATTCAAGCAGGTTTGACTTCAGAATCTGTGAGGGCAAGGTCAGACCTTTGCTGTAAATGCCATTTTGACCTTAGTTTAGATACCGCTTTTGAGATTTTAATTCTTGCATTTAATCAATTTTCGGTTCCTTCTGACTAGCGACGCAGCAGGGTATCTTTGATGTTCCCTGCTCTAAGTAATTTTTATCCAATCTTTAGGAAGTTTTTGTGCAAAGCAGTTCAAATGTACCTGAATACTGTGGTATCGTCAATATGGAACAATACGTACTTGTGTTGAAGCGGCGCGAACCGATAAACTTGCAAATTTCGACTCCTGAATCGGCCTTAAATTTTCCCTCGGATGGCTAAAGTCATTTTGGCGTGTAACGAAAACGAAAAGCAAGTAATTTAACAAAACAACCCGGTTTTATTATGTACTCACCAAGTCCTTTCGTTGCACAAAATAAAAAGGACCGACCGGACCGCCCTTAGGCGGACTGCCACTTAATCTCCCTTTTAGGTCTGACTCAAATTTATTTTCATCCCAAGAGGTACCAATTTAACAAAATTACCGTCTCATATTTTTCTGGCTTATAGCCTGAAAGGTACTAAAATACTACCGAAATCACTAAACTGTTAGCAACCCATAAAAAACGATCGATCGCATTTGAATTTTCGTCTTGCTCACGTGACCATCTGGAGCGCTGATCACGTGACATTTTCGTAGGTTTGTGTTCTGCTTTCGCTCCCTTCATGGCTTTGTACCCGGAGTAAAGGTTTATTACGGCACAGATTTCCATAAGTGTAGAACATTTTTCTCTTCTTCAACAGAAGATTTCAATTTTTACGGATTCATAAGTAGAGTGAAAGATATAACCAAAACATTTCGATCGAATTCGTGTTTGTTATCTTGACGATGAAAACTGCAACGTGAACTTAGAAGAAACCCTCATGGGCGAACTGTTTAGGTGTGCGCGAGATGTTCCTGGAAAACTATACTGGACGGCTGTGAATGTCCCTTGCCAAGGCTTAGGTAGTGCAGATGCCAGCTCTAACAATGCGTCTGATGAAAATGTGTTGCCGCTTCTCGCAAGTGCGGCGAATTTGCTTTCTGATAATTCAGCAGAGTAATTTGACAGGTAGTACCTGTATTTTCACTCAGACGAGACAGACGTCTGAAATTAGGCCGAAGAGACAAACTGCAAATTCTTGAGAACTGCGATTTTCAACCGTTTTTGTGTGTGTGTGTGTGTGTGTGTGTGTGTGTGTG